ATTTATATAGCAAAGTAAAGTTTTTGGGCCCGTGCAATCTATCTCTGCGTATTTGTTTCAAATGAATTCTTCTGTGGTCTTGCATACTTGTATGAGTCAGTGTTGACTTTGTCTGTCGTATACGTATAAAACTATATTGACAATTATTTACTCGATTAAAAAGAAATTAGACAAAAAAGTTGGGTTGGCTCAGTTGTGCAGATACATGCAGAAAACGGTTTTGAAGAAAATCTGGGGCCGAAATTGGCCATCCCATCCAACATAATGCATACCTTTTTATCTGGACAATTCCTGCATTGAAGTGATATACAATTGGTCTATCCCCTGTTACGGGGGCTTGTCAACCAAGCTTGTCAACGGCGTCGGTGGCCCAGTGGTTAGGCTCTCGGACTCGCAACCGTAAGGTCGTGGGTTCGAATTCCGCCAGGGACCCGACGTTGTGTCCTTGGGAAAGGCACTTTACACAAATTTTTTTCACTTCACCCAGGTGGAAATGGGTACCCGGCTATAGACAGTGAACGATTTTTTCAGTTTGATAGTGTTTGAGCGCGTGAAATCCGCAGCTTGCACTGTATGCTTCAGTGGAAGACGAGAATGTTTCTGAGTTTTCTCAGAGGGTCTGCTGGGGTAATAATAGTTGTAAAACGCATAGAGCATGCTCTTGAGCTTGGATATGCGCTATATAAATGCAATTATTATTTCAGCGCATTGAGCATTTCTTTGTGGAAATGTGCTAGATCTATTTTAATGCATTTTATTATTTATTATTTTCTTTGGGTTAAGTGGTCTAACCTATCCACGTGAGCGTTACATTTTAAGCATTTTCTACTGAACAGATTGGTACTATTATGTGGATTGGTACTGTACTCAAGTGAAAACTGATAAAGTACAGAACAAAATTGATGAAAAAAAACTTACTTGATATGGGAATATCGCTCGCAGTCTTTGGGGTCATTTTTTAACTGCGACATACAGTGAACTCTTCACTTGAGGGGTTTGCTATTTTTTGGGGGGTTAGCCCATTAAAACCTTTCAATAGTCTGCAGTTTCTTTAAAAGACAAGGAGAGTTTTAACAAATAATCAAACAATTAATATATACACACCAATCAAACCAAACTTCTCCTATAGGTAGGGCAATGCCCACTTTTGGTATAGATCAAGATTTCTGGAAATCCCTGAAATCTGGGTTAGCCCACTTGTCCTTGAAAATGCATCTTTATGTTGGGCTTACGTCAGATAGTGATAGTGTACAATATAACTCCAAGTACCTCTTGTAATAACATAATTGTCATCTGTTGCACATAAGTGATTCATTTGATGAGTGTGAGTGTGTGTGTGTGCGTGCGTGCGTGTGTGTTTGTGTGTGT